AAGTAGATCTTTAGAATACGACGAAAAACAAAACAAATTGCCGAGAACGAGAATAGTGTATTTTATAAGAGCACTTGTTACAGTAGATAATCAACTAGTTTTCATATTTTAAATTTAATATTGCAGTAGAGTTTGGTTTATAATTATTTAAAAGATATTGTATTATTTGAAGTTTACTCATAAAAATCGATTTGGAAAAAATAGATATAATCATCATTGTTTGTTGGTCCATTCCAAGAATAAAATTCACATCGAATATCTTATTCTTATGCTAAGGGATGAAAACATATTTGTGATAGAAATGAACTTGTTGATAAAAGATAAGTGGTTCTTTTCTGCATTTAAATTATTTCAATATAAATCATCACTATCTTTTTCTCGTTCATTTTGATTATATACTTCATAGACATTAATTTTTTTTTCAGTTAATAAAAAATGAAATTTTACTCGACATGATTTGTTTTTGAATTATTAGAAATGATTTGTTTTCTTTTCAATTTTAATTAAATCATCAATGAATACAAAACGCATATTTGCTAATTAGTTTTTTATTATTATCAAACTTAAATACCATAACCACAAATCAAATACATGAATAACGTTAGAATCTGTTCAGAAAAATGTGGCTCATCTAGAACTAGGTAGGGGTGCACCGAGCTCTAAGTCTCGGCCCTGGTCTCGGTACACGTCTATGTGAGTTTTTCGAAATATAAAGCTTTATTTCGTAATTAGTATTTGAAACCTAATCAAAGTTTAAAGATTAAAAATGTGTTGCATTTCATATATGCATTGATTAGACAACGAAGATTTTTGTCAATTCAGTTCCATTATGTCTATTTAACCTGTAATTCATACCAATATTTCTTTCAATTAATTACTTTGATATAAATTAAAGATTAAAGTTCATTCGATCATGTGAAATGTTTTTTCTTTTTAGAACTTTCTGAGAAATGAACACTATGAATAATTAAAATTACAAATCTCCTTAAACTTATCTATTTTAAATTAGTAATTACATCACTTTTGTTCTAATTTTAATACTTCTTAGTCATCGATTATTAATAAGTTGAGCTCAAACCGAGATTTTATTGATCAGTTAAAAGTCAGTAAAGTAAAAATTAATTAATATGATTTATTTATATCAATATGTAGCCATAAAACTTGACACGAACGACAAAATAAATATATTTACAATAATTTTTGATTGATGAAAAAATGCATCAAAAACTAGAAATGTACTAGGCTTACTTCATATATTTTTGTTGAATGAGCAAGTGAAAATGTATTAAAGTATTATATTTGTAGACGAAATCAGCCCAAGAACATTCGGAACCGAACCAGGGTTCCATCTCTGTTGTACATGAATCGCAATTGTAGTTTCATTTTGGGCGTTTAAAATATATTTTTGTAAATTTTTCTTTGCTTGATTCAAAATAAATACCCTTATATGTATATATATATATATATGTTTCTTTGTCCATTGTCCATCGTTGATAGTACTAACTAATTCAGTATTGTTTGTGGAGCTAGAATATCATTTTAAAACAGAACAGAAATGATCAGATTGATGAAAAACAACAAATTCCCAAAACAGTTACGATTGAATTATTTCAAATATCAATACTATATTATATAGCTAATATTTAGATGTGATTTTATTGACTCTATCAATTTATTGTGAAATTCTGAATTTCGAACGGTTTCTCTTTGGGAACTTGAAATAAATTATAAAACTAATCGTTTGAAAGTTTTTAGTTCGTTGATTTTTTGACTTATTCAAATGGACATATGTTTTTGTCGCCAATAAAAACAAATTTGATAATACATGTATTATCATTTTGATTGGTTTGCCATAGCTGTTTAAGAAAAGAGAAATGATTATTTTCATTGATCTTATTTTGTACTTACAAATCTTTACATTTTTCTTTTAGATATTGATAAATTTAATAATGATTCATGTTAGTGATAAAATCATAATGATATATTTTATGACTAATTGATAATTGGTCATTCTTGTTGATTTTGTTAAAAGAAACTATATTTAATTATTAGTTATCTTTATCTTGGTATATTACCTAAATAATATAATGAATTTTTATGCATTCAATTAAACTAATTTAAAGAAGTAAGATGAATAAAAAGAATTCTATAAGAGTTTAATAATGTACGAAAATATTTTGAAAATTCTATGTTATATTATAAATAAATGTATTTACGTATTATCAATTATATATAAAAATTTAATTCGATTTTAAATATTTTATTATTATCATGAAGCGAACTAATTTAAAAAAACACAAAGAATTGTTTCTATTTGAGATTTATCAATTTCGTCAGGCATTTTAATGACTAATATAGTATAATATGAGATTGAGATCAATAATAGTTTGATTGAGAAATTATAAATAGACTAAAAGCAAGAAAACGGAAAGTTTATGTTTATGTGGATATGTACGATACTTTTCAAAATGAAATAATCTTATTACATATTCTATTAGATCATTGGAAGTTTACTTTTGAGAAAAACTTTTGTTTTTCTTAATGTCGCAATTAGTTATTTGTTCACTTTTTTCTATTCTTCTTTTATTTCACAGATATTGATTAAAGTTAAGTATAAAGATTGTTTTCTTTTCATTTGTTTTGATGTTCAATAGAGTTTTACAAAAAATACGATTTATTTAATCAAGTTATAGAAAGGATCCTTTTTATTTTATTTTATATAAAGATTAATAGTTACTGTTTGTCTATTTGATACGAAGCATTTTTATTGAAGAAAAATTTTGTAAAAAAAGTGAGCATAATTAGCTGAAGCATAGGTAAAATAAAAATGATTAGTATTCTAACTAAAACTAAATATCAGCATAATAGTAAAATAAAACAAAGATTAATTGCAATCATTTTGATAAGATGTTGGATATACTTCTTGATTATTTCTATATTCAAGTAAAACTTCATATTGAAATGTTTGTTCATTATTTGATTGTAGTTCTTGATCAAGAATTTGAAAACCTTCACTAATTAATTGAATTTTATTATTTAATTCTTGATCATCATTTTTTGGATTAACTGTAAATTTAGCTGAAGATATTATTTCTTTATATTCATATTTAATTGGCCTTGTTTTAGAATTTTTAATTGTTAAACGAATTAAATATGTAGCAGAGTCACGCTTTTGTGATAAAACTTTAACATCACGTATAAAACTAACATCGGGATCATTTCCACAATCTAAATCTTGTTTTTCGCCTTGTGTGATATCAGATAAATGTGCTTGTCCAACAACTCTTCCGTCTTCTCGTATTGTAACAGTACCTTTAGGTAAAAATTTATCTGATTCAATACGATATTTTCTTTGGAATTTTCCTTTTTGTGTTCTTTCTTGAAAATAATTTTGTAAACCTGCATATTTTTCTAATTTAATCGTTGGTTTAACAAAAGGAAGTGAAAATGTTGATTGTTGAATAAGAACAAATGGTTGATCAATTGAATACCAATAAAGTCCAGCTAATTCACCTTCAGATTGAACTGTCGGAGTTGCTCCTGGTGGAGCAGAACAAAGACAACATTCTTGAATACAGCAACAACGATCTGCATATCTATTAGAAGAATTTCCAGATTGTTGAAGATTAACATCACCACCAAATAATTCTGTGTGTTTTATTTTATAATCACGTTTTGTATTATTTGTCATATCAGCCCAAGCTTCAAAATGATGACCATCAGATTCAACTTTTAAATTATAACGAGGTGACCATGTTATTCCTTTTAACGAAAACAATTAATTTGATTCAAAAAAGGAAAGAAAAGAAACAAATCGAACCATGAATAAGATATGAAAGTGTTGCTTCGCCAGCTTTTTTTAAAGCAAAAGTAACTTCTTGGCCTTCTTCTTCAGGTATATTAACATATTCAAGTTCATGATGTTGACCACGAATATATCGACCTGTTTTAACATCTTTCAATAATAAATCATTAGGACGAATAACTAAACATTCAATTGGTTCTTCACGTGAATGACGTATAAAAACAGTTTGATTTTCTAAATTATTTGCTTTTGTTACACTATTTTGACTATTTACTTCAATTCCTTCAACATTAAGACTTCCATTAACAATTTGATCATAAACTTCACGTGGAAAATACATTTTAAAATTCTTCGCAAAAACAAAAGTATTTTTAATGTTTGTTTTTTAATTAAAATCTTTTTTTCTTACTTGTGGTGCATTGAATTTTTCTCTAATTTCAGTAAATGATGGATAAATACGAAGTTCAGTAAATGATGGAAAGATTTTTTCTTTTTCTTTTCCACTATTTGAATCTGTACTCATCTTTTTGCTTGGCTGAAAAGAAAATTCTATTGATCGTTGTTCTTTATCTAAAACTAAATAGAAAGAAAAAGAGAAAAACAGGAATATCTTTAACACTGTGCTAAATATCTTATTCAATCGCGCGATTAATTTACTAAATGAAGCAGAAATAAATGATGCATAGTTTTTGTTTTCCTCTTCGTTCTATTCCATGTCGCCTAAATAACCTTAAATGGACGCATTTCTTGTAATCAATTATATGTAAGGAAAGTATGACGAGAAAATATTGTATTTGATTATTCATCTAATCATAAAAAATAACAAAAATGTTGTCCACTTTCTTTTTCTATTCGAGCCTTTCTCTTCTTTTCTATTTATTAATATTTATTTATCATTTATACATCGAACAAAAAAATAACAACAATTTTTTTTTGTTTCTTTCGTTCGTTCTATATTTAGCTAATGTAATGTACTGTACTGTAATAAAAAGAGCGACGAGTGTCATTTGTTGTTTATTTGAGAAATAAAATGAAAGATGGCTCTGCCCTTTTATGAATATCGGATAATTAAAACTTCAAAATTATTTACACAAAAACAAAACAAAACAAAAATAAATAGAAGAAAGTGCAAATTTAAAAAAAACCCAAGTGCAAAACAAAGAAACCACAATAAGCTAAAGGATTGAACTAAAATCTAATCTTGTGAAGAATTAGCTGATTTAATTCGATTTTGTTGATCGTTTATAAATGAAACTGTTGGATTCACTCTATAAAATAAAAATAAAAATATTTATTAACTTAAAATAAATAAAATAAAATAATATAAACTTCAATTGTTGAAATCTATTTGAAGTTGAAGTTGATGTTCGTGTCTCTTTAACAACAGTTGGATAAATTGGTGGCCGATTTGAAAAACGATTCAATGCTGAATAGATTTCATTTCTTTGTAATGTTCGTTGAAATACTTTTGCCTTTATAGAACAAGGAAAAAATGAATTTTTGTATTTTTTTTAAAGAAAAATTTAAAAAAAGAAAGAAAGAAAAAAAACGAACTTGTTCAGCTAATTGTTCATTTTTAACTTTGCTTTCTTCAAGCATTTGTCGACTTCTTTCGAGAATTTCTTCTTCTTTACTTATTTCAGAAACATTTTCACAATCATTTATAACAGTTACATTCGTTTGTTGTTGTTGTGGTTCAACTGATGATGAACGACTATGAAACGCATTTAAACGATGAAGACCTTTTAAAAAGAAGATGGAAAATGAATCATTAATAAAAACAAAATGAATTCTCTTACCAGAATATTGTCGATGATGTTGTTTTAATGATAATTCATTTAGTTGTTCGACAAAATCTCGTTTCTCTTCTGAGAAAAATAAAAATAAAACAAACTCGCGACATATTATTGAAATGCATCAATAAATATGTTCACCTTGGTCGCTTGGAACAGTAGCTGAATTTGGTCGCTCTCGAATCAATAATTTATTAGTTGGTACAGATGGTACTGTTGATGACATTTCTAAAACAATATTTCGTTTTTTCTTTTTTCTTTTTTCTTCTAAATTCTTTTTCGACAAATATTTGATATTTATTTTTAAAAGAATATTTTCTCATTTAGCTGAAGTAAATAATGAATTCTAATCTCATAAATAATCAGTTAAATTATTTTTAATTAAAATAATATTATTCTGAAATCTCTACAACTATATTTCTTTTGCAATAACTGAAAAGTGTCGTGTCACAAATAATAGAAGTTAATTAAATTGCAAAAAAACGTTTTTTTTATCATACTTAAATATTTTTTTCAAATATATTTCTTCGATCACGTTTTTAGAAAAGATTTTCTTTTGATTTTCATTATAGAATATTAGTAATGTATTAATGAAGAAACTTCTTTTTTTAAATATGATCTAAACTTCATTTTTTCTTCTGAATAAATTAATTTGAATAAACTTCGATATTCTCTCTTTCTATTATGATAAAATATCTTATGGAAAAAAGTCGATCAAACTTGTATATGAAGATTTTAAAAAGAAAATGTTTCTCTAAAAATTAAAACCTACGTTTTCTATGTTGAACAACAGCTGATAGAGGTCTTGTAACTCCATAAAGTTTATAAATTTCATCTTGTCTTTTATTATTATTTCTTTGTCTTGATGCACTCGAGGCTCTTAATAAACGTTTTTGTGAATGGTTTTGTGGAGATATTGTAGCCCATTTTTGATTTGATTGTTCATTTGATGAAATTGTTTGAATAAATGTTATTGTTTTATCCTCAATAGATTGTTTTGGTAAAATCGTTTGAGCTTGTTGATCAGCTCCAACATCTGAACCCTGTTGATTTTGATTTTGATTTTGATTTGTTGAATTTAATTTAACAATTTTTGGATTAACACCTAAATGAATAGCTGAATTTTTGTTATTTTTCATATAAGTTGTCATCATTTGTTCAAGATCAGCTTCAGAAGCAGAACGAAGAAAATTTTCAAATAAACGATTATCAATTTCAGTTGTTGAAAATATTTGATTTTGATATTGTGAAACAGTCTCTTTATTATATAAATGAAGAAAATCACATAATTCTTTTGCTAAAATTCTTTTTTGATCAGCTTGTGAAAGACGACGTGATGGAATCTCAACACGAAATGGTGGTGAAAGATTTTGTCCAGCTCTCTTTAAAAACCTTATAACTAATTCCATGTGTTGTGTTGATGTAACATCTTCTTTTAATTCGGAATCAAGCATTAAACGAAATTGAATTCGTTGTAAATATGTTCCAAATGCTGTACGTGCTTGAAGTGGACTATTCAAATAAAAACAAATTAATAAAAAAGAAGTAGACTGTTTTTTTTCTTTTCAATGCGATAATCAATTTAAAAGAATTTCTTATAAACTCAAATGTTTTTCATACTACTAGAATTGACTTAGCAGAAACAAAAATTATCAATTTATTTTAAGTATTGAAAGATTATGAAGAATTATTCTGTCATGAGGTGAAATAAAATTGTAATGATTGAAAACAACAATTGAAATATTCCTAAGAACTCTATAATATAAATAATGATAGACAAAAAACGTGCAACGAAATAAATAACTATAATTTTAGATTTGTTAAAGTTTTAGCTGTCAAGCATAAATTTTTTTTCTATGTTATTAATTGAATGATTTCAAATGTTTTACTTTTTAATGAATATTTCGATTCGATGAATTAAAACAATAAAAATGATTTCTTTTAAATTTCATTCAACTTTGTTTATTGATATTAGAAATATTCTACTTTACTACTTTATATTTTTGATTAAAATCCCAAAGGTTTTAACTATTGCTGTATCAATGAAAACAATTTGATTTGTTAAAAAAAAGAATAAATAAATAAAACTACTAGCCTCAATGTTAAACCTTGATTAAGCATTTGAAGAATATCATTTTTTGCATAAGTTGAATGTCTTCCTTCTCCAGGTGCTGGATTTACATTTAATTGTTGTTGTTTTACTAATTGTGCAACTGTTGCTAAACGTTTTGATGTTGAATCATTTTTATTCTGTTGCTGCTTTGATATTAAATTATGAATGGGTGCTGATGCTGCTCGATGAATATTTATTGTTTGAGATGGATTTTGTTCAATAGTTTCAACAACTATTTGTGATTTTGAAGATTTTTCATTAGTTTTTGACGGATCCATTAAATTGGTTGTTGTTGTTGCTATTGATGTTGTTGTTATTGTTGTAGCCGTTGGAGGAGGAGGAATAATATCAATTAATCTTCTTTCATAAATTCGATATCTTTCAAGAGCTTCATCAAGATCACAGCCATTTATTTTTGGTGTTAAATCTTTATCTGATGGATGACCATAATTAAATGCTGACGAAAGATGTTTTGCACGTGGAACTGTTGTACGACGAATTTGTCCACCATTTTGTTGAGAATTTAATGCATTTGGCGTCCATCGTGTTGGATAAATACGTTGATGAATCATTTGATTAAAAGATGTTGTTCGTTGTTCAAAAAATGATGAGAAAAATTCATATGTATCACTTGTTGGAAATATTCGAACAAAACCACCACGTTGACGATTTTCTTCTTTTATTGTTCTTAATATTCGAATTTCTTCAGAAGATAAACCAAAATATTCACTACGAATCATTTCGTTTGTCTGATTATTATTATGATTATGATTATGATTATTATTGTGCCCATAACGAGTTGGACGATTAGCTGTTGTTGCACGTACAAGACGAGAATTACTATTTTGGCTTGTTAACGATGACGTTAACGAATAACCAGCTGAGATTGGACGACGCTATTTATTACAAATATTTTTGTTTCTAATCTGATAGATTTATATAAACACATTGTTTTTTCAATATTCGTTTTCTTGTAAATTATTTAGATTGATTTATTATTATCTTTGAAAAGATTCGTTTTCGTTTTCTTTTATATAGAATGATTTCAAGAAAAGAAGTAAATTTATTTTATATTCTAATTAACTTAAGACATATTGAAAGCAATTAATTCTTTTATCATAAAAAAAAATTTCTCAGAACCATTATTGAACGATGAAAATCTGCTGTTAAAGATGACTTTTCTTTTTCTAATAAAAGGAAAGATTGTTGTGGCTTATGTGTCATTTTTATATATGAAATCCTAGATAATTAATGAATGTTTAAATAACTGTGGGAGTATTTCATTAATTTGTATGGTTTCCGTGTTTGTTTACTTTATCCGTAAACTTTTCGAAAAACTCAAAACTTTTTCTTCGTCATAAGAATATACATAAAAAAAACTCACCCGTTTTAGTTGATCAGATTGAGAAACAGATTCATTTTTTTGTTGTCTTTGTTTGTTGGAATAAATAGCTGGATCTGTACAAGGCATTGATGTTAAATTAAGAAGATCACAAATCATATGAGTTTTAATTTTTAAATCAATTGGAGCATCGCTAAAGTTAAAAAAAAGAACATTAGATTAAGAAAAAAAGAAAAAAAAATAATACATACCAACCCAATGATGGAGATAAATTAACTTCAAGTACCCAAGGTTTTAATTCATCGTCAATTAATATATCAAAACCATAAACTTCTAAAAAACAAAAAAGACTCTTATCTTTTTCATTTTCAAAATAATTTTCAAATATAATTTAACCGAAACAATTTCCTCTCGTTGGAACAAACATTCTAGAAGCAGCTGATATTTGAGATTCAACTGAAAGTAATGTTTTAATGACAACATCTTCAATAGCCATCATTAAACTAAATGTATCTTTTCCTTCAGCTTTTAATAAACGTAACATTGCTGACATAGACCATTTATTTCCAAAATCTTCAATATCAGGATCATCACATCTATATTTAATTTATATTAATTTGAATTCATTCAAATAAAACGAACCTAACATATCGATGACTTCGTTTGTTAACACTATAATTAGTTAAATGCATAAAAGCATTTTTTATACTTCGACTATTTGGGTCATATTTTACTGTTGCAAATCTTTAAAAAAAAGAATTCTTTGTATTTTAATTTAAAAATATAAAAATATAATCGAACCTCGTTAATCCTTCTTCGTAAAGATAAGCAACAAGCGGATCATAAGAAGTAACTGCAACATAAATTCTAACGTCAAATTTGTATCCTATTCGAAAAGAAAATTATCATTGCTTGTCTTTATTTTTAATATTTAGTGTAATAAAATACCATCAATAAGAAGTGGATTATCAATATATCGACTAATAACAAGATTTTCATCCAATGGAACTTGATCGGGCTAAAACAAATAGTCCTCTTTTTTTATTATTGAAATAAGTGGAAATACAATATTACATGATTAATTAAAAAAATGCCTTTGCCTTGTGATGAAGCAACTGGTTTAATTATCCAAATTCCTTTTTCACGTTGAAAAGCAGCTTCAATAAACAAGAAAAATATTAAAAGAAAAACTAAAAAAAAATGAAATTTTAAAATTACCTGAAAAATCTTCAAATTCATAAGGCAAAAGGAATGTAGTTGGAATGAAATTAAAATTTTTAATTCCTTTCTCTTGTTGCATTTTTTGAACATTTTTATAAAGACGATCTTTTCGTGTCATTTCATATGATCTTAATTGAAAATAAAACATGACTTATACAAGCAATGAAAGAATAATTTAACCTTGGAAAATGATTAACACGTTGAAATGGATTAAGTGATCTTAAAGTAAAAGGTTTCATTCCGCCACCAGTCCACATTATGTTAAATTCTGAACTTGATGGATGAACTTCACGAAAACCATGTCCTTCAAGAATATTTCTTATTAGTTTAGTTTCATTTTTAACAAATTTAAATGATAAAGAATGTTTTTCTCCAATTTTTCTTGCTTCTGGACATCGACCATAAACGACTTTAGGTGAAAACTGAATTATTGCTACACGTTTCGAACCATAACGAATTAAACGTGGTACAAGAGCTCTATGAAATTATAACATAATATTTAATCAAAAATTATCAATAAAAGCTAACTGACTTGCATCGTCCATTCTGTTGATTATCTTCATTAAGTTCATCAAAACTTTCTTCTTCACCGTCAAAGATTTCATCTGGTGAATCTTCTCCACCATCAAATATTGCTGAATCAACACTTGATGAACGCGGAATTATTTCATTTGAATTCGAAATATTTCCAACTATTGATGCCATCAACGTTTTACTTTTCTACTTTAATCCTCAACTTATTATTTCAGATCATCGTTTATTTTTCTACCATATATCGATTATTATTACTTAGTGTTGCAACAATTAAACCTCTAGACATTTTTCTATCGACAAAAAAAACTTCATTTTTTAGCTTCTTTAAGCATTTGTTTATCATTTTTGGGATTTAACTTTATGCTTTTCTCTGAACTATTTTAAAAATAATATATACATACAAGAGAAGTGAAGGCGACATCTTTTTTTCATTCATATACTACTACTACTACTACTACTACCCTGGTCGAATAATACGATTCGTTATTTGTTATCCGTATACGACTGTAATGGAAACATTGTGATTGTGATGTGGGCAGTTGTCATTGTCAATACCCAATGACTCATGCTTTTAATATCGGTCATAATGCCCTATGAATTTTATTGAATGAATTTTCATTAAGTGATCTCAATTTTTATTTACATTTGAACTTACTAAACTTACTATGTTGAATTGCTCGTAGATTTCACATCTGAAATTAGTTATATCTAATTTCTATTCGGAACAAATGAACAGAAAGCAAATCGAGCATATTGAATTTTGGAAAAAATCGAAAATCATCATCCAGTGTTTTATTGTTGTATGAAAATTAATAATAAAGTTCTTCATAATCATCTATATCCTATTGCGTTTCATCATGTATACCGGAGGAAATAGCGACAGAAATTGAAACTCTTTCGAGTGAATCTGTATAAGATTCAAGTACTTCGGATGCTCGGGTAATACTTTTTTTCTTTTAGAGAGAATTGTATAGATCCAGACTCATCGACTCTTTCTCTCCTGGATCTATTATAAAAACTTTTCATACAAGCCAGAATTCGATTTAGTCGAAATACGTATAAAGATTTTGTGATTTTATATGGAAGTCGTTTGTAGTCCAGAAAGTCGTCAAAATTAACATTGTGTAATTTTTTTAACTTAATAGTAATCAGTACATGGTACGTTACTCTTTTTATCCGCTCCGAGCAATCCACACACTGGATCCTTTGTGATTATTTGCTTGAAAAATAGTGCTGTTTTTCTTTTATGATTGGTTTGATTATTTTGTGAAAATAATCGTGAAAAATGCATGTGGAAATTAAGTAACACTAATTATGGGTGAAACATTTCCTATCAACCATCATCTTTAAAATAATAACTGTAATTCTTCTCAAGCCGATTTCTATAGTAATAATCATCATCCATCAAGTGGAATTCATACTAATAATTGTTAGTCAATTATTCGAAAAGTTAATCAACAACTGAGATCATTTAATGGAAGATTTCTTATTATTCCAAATTATCCAACAATGATACTACAAACACAACAAATGATGAAACCACGAATGATATATTTAAATACTCATGAAATATCATCACAAGTAATAATGCTGCAACCATCATCGAGCATTTTGTGATCTTAATATTGTCCATCAAACAAATGTACAACAACAGTCTCGTCATTTATTATCTGGTGATAACAATCTTAAATCTTTGTTTCCAACGCATTTATTAATTGTCCGTTGAATTATTTATTGAATTTTATAAAAAAAAGACGATCTAAAAAGACTTGAAGTATAGAAATAAAAGCTTGAACTGACGTTCCACACCTATAGATAGACAGCTGTTAGTCAGCGATAAAGACGTGAACCCGTACCATTTTTTGGAGCGGTCTAAGTTCTCTGAATCGCCTAGGAGTAAATTTAGGCTTGTTTTTTTTCTGAATGGTGAGTTTTATTATGCCAACTGATTTGTTTTGAAGGCTCCATTCACGTCTCATCAAGACTTAAGAAAGATGAGAAGAAGTTGTAGTCAAGATTGACATCGACCTCTTTTCATGGTCATAAACCTCCAAGACAGATGAATCCAATTGTCACAGCACATCAATTTGCACAATAAATAGCCGAGGACAGAATTTACAACTCAAAAAAACTGTCGTTCTAAACTTGACTTTTAATGAGACATTTAGTTGACTTCAATGCAGGTCTTTCGTCAGAGACCTTCACAAATCATATATGAATAACGTCTAGATAGACTATATGAAAAACTTCCTTATTGCATTTCTGGGAGATTAAGGAAACTCTCCTTGGCCATATGACTCTAAAGTTTTAGTTTCTTATATCCATTGGGTACTATGAAACAGTATCTATCTACTGACTATTTTTTAGAATCCAAAAATTATCTTTAAATGTTCAAAAAATTCGAGAAGAAATCAAATTTATCAAACAGAAACAGCAAAACTGTACATTGGTGAACATTTTCATGCAAAAGTGCAAAAATGCCCTAGTTTCTCTGTCCAATTAGTCGGATCAAGCTGAAGTTATCTTCAAATATTCTTTATACTGTTCCAGATAGATATTTTCTTCTTCTTTCAGAAAAACAGAAGCTTTTCATGATTACCTTCGATATTTTGATTTCTTCACTGCAAGAGCAAAAAATGCAATGAAACCATAACCAAGGACTGTTTCATGGAGAAGAAAAAGTTTTTAGCTCAACCGAACATAGCATCTCGGACGGACGTCGTCTAAGATTGAGACCATTTTTCGCCATGGAGACCACCGTGTATCGTAGACGACATTATGCAGAAAAACAATTTTTTCTTTGATCGTCAAGATTTATCTTTCCTGAAGGTTTCAAAATTTTTCGATGAGCAGTTTTCATGCAAAGCAGAAAAGGCATGTGGGATACCCTTAAGTAACAGAACGGTCTAGAAGTGTACTGCTAAAACAATTTATCCGTGGTCAACAACAGTAATTATACAGTATTTTACATTATAGTTTCGTAGATCGTCCTATAAGTTTTTTCAATTGTCTGTCTTTGTCTTTTTCAGAATTCTCAAATTCCAATTTTAGAATCAGCAGCTGTATATAATACCCAGGTAGAGTCCTGCATGTCAACCTTGCTCTACCCTACCCACACCCTGCCCTGCAGGGCAGGGTGTGGGTACAAAAATCGTAGGACAGGGCAGGGTAGGGTAAGGCTACAAAAAAAATATTTAGGGTATAAATACGGTGTAGCTCATACAAATAAAAATTTTATATAGAACTTAATATATATTTCTGACATCTTTCTGATCAAAAACAGTGTAAAGAGTGATATCATAATCTAAATCGAATGGGTAGAATAACAACGAACGGAAAAACAATGGCCTATTGTTTAGTGCTATTTTTACATAAGCTGGCGAGTTCAGTCACTTTTGATTATTTGTCTAGTTAATGTGCATGTAAATGTAATAAAAAATGTCTTCGAAATCATCTCGACATGAACGTATTTTTAGTGCAAACTGGCGAGTTTTGGAAGAGAGAAGGCAAAATTTAAATGGTAATGTTGTAAATGACATTTTATTTTTAAGAAACTTTCGAAATATTTATTAATTTTGTATTTGATTCTCGTTGAAAATCAATAAAATATATTGAAACAAAGTGAAGAAAAACTTCATGCTGACTTTTACTTGGACCTGAAACTAAGGATATGATAGGGTGTAAAATGAAAAATCTCTGTGATAGGGTAGGGTAAGGGTACAAAGCCCCTAGGGCAGGACAGGGCAAGGTTACGAAGTCTATATGGCAGGGTAGGGCTAGGGTAAGAACGTCGTAGGGGAGGGCAGGACAAGGGTAAGAAGTTTTACGATAGGGCAGGGTTAGGGTACAAAAAGGTCTTCACCTGCAGGACTCTAATTTTGAGACGTTTTTCAGGCGATGTTTCATTAGAAAGCTACGGTTTGGTTCAAAACTAATATCAAATTCGGAATCAGCGTTAAAAACTGAGTCGATTTATATATGTTGTCAATAATTCTGAGAAAAATTTGTTTTGAAAAAGAAATCCCTGTACCCCTCCTCAGGGATGGTCTGGTCAAAAATGACAATTTTTTCGATAACTCAACCATTTCTTGAGGATCCTTCTCATCTTCAAACTCGAGCGAGATATTTATGAGATTGAACTGTGTGGAAAATTTCATTACGATCTGGCTCTCCTTTCGAAAGCTATCGTACCTACGGCCGGACGGACACACTGACCGATTCTAGAGTGTACTCACTTTTTGAGTACACAAAAAGAACAGATTCACGCTATCTGTGTAAAGATAGTAATGTAGGTCTTTGCGTGATTAATTTTGCTTTGAGAAATTTCACATTTTACTACATTTTTAGTTTTTTCTTTTCGTATACTAAATGATATTTGTTTTTATTATTCGAAAATAAGCCAGAAATATCTTCAAAGTAAGATTCAGTAGAATTTTCAATCTTTCTTTCTACAGAAAAACTACAGCTTCAAAAGTTTAAACATTTGATCAGGAACTACATCTTCTGTTAATCTCATTCTTAACATTCATCTTCGATCATTGTCTTCATCAACTACTAAACAAAGAAGAAATATTTCTTGAAGACAAAAAAGAGAATTATTTTCTTATAACAACAGTGACACGTTCATTTAATGCTCTCACTCAATAACGAAGACCTGTTCTCATATCACCTGACTGTTAAGAAGTAATTGATTTCGAATGAACAATCATCCTTTTTTAATTGAAAAAAAAATACAACTAACAACGAAAGAAGAAAAGAAACAAACAATATTTACTGTAGGAACTATTTGAGAAGACAAATCATTAAAAATAAATAGATGTCGAAAAACAGCCCATAGATTATTTAGATCATGCTGTAATAGATCTTCAAATAAATGACGACATTTTAATGAGAATCAAGCATTATTTCGAATCTCTAAATTCTATATTAGCTTTCCATACTACTAAAACATTTGTCAGAAAACGTTGCTGTCTCTTTTGTCTGTGCGAACGATATTGTGTAAGTAATTAATATAAAACGAAACTAATTACGTAACAAATAAAAACGACAAAGAGTCATTTCATTTTTTCCGATGGTATAACTTGATATCGAAGTGATTTGACAAAATATTTTCGAAAGGTTTTGATGAATGTTAACTGAATACAAATGCTCTGATTCGTGCTTGTTCATAGAAATAGGCACTGCTACCAGAAAATTAGTTTGTTCTTCAGAAGTAAACACTTCTACAATCAATATTTTGAAAAACAAAAAGTATACGAAAAATCAAAAAATATTCAAGACCAACCCGCTCGTTTACCGTTACTGGTTGCAACTCTGTTAGTAGTGAAGAAAGAAACATAAATTCTAAAGTGGAACTGATTTCGGAAATAGCTTTTTTAATTAGGATCGATTCGTGGATCAACCCTTCCCGTCCTTTCATATTTTCAAAATTAATTGAAATTTTTCTTTTGAAAAAAAAACTATTAAGAATATTTATATTGATGAACATTAATCTAAATATTGATTAGGTACGTTGCATGTCTGTTCACATTATCTCCTACGTATATATTGTGTGCTATTCATTCATGGTAGTCAAACATATGCAAACAGTAGATTGTTCCTCATAAAATAACTATTGATAAACCGATCTAGAAAAATGATGAGAGAACAGATAATTAAGTTACCTTTCAGCATTCAACTGTATATTTTTTTGTCACTAACAATAAATATTTCCAGTTTGATGCACATTCCATTAAACGATTTTTGTCTAGTTCGAATTGCAAGGATAGAGAAAATATATTTTTTATCACATCATTGTTTCGTCTATGAGCAATAAATAGTCGATCTGCACAAGAAGAGACTAGAGAGTGTCACTTTCCTATTCCATTTCGAGAAATGGGAACGTGTAAGAGTCTCATATCAAAAGATATACATCAAAGTTTAAATACATCGTTAGAGATTTTATGAATGATATTAAATGAGTTTTTGTTCGTGAAGAACACAATGCTCATCAACGAGAACTCTGTCATTTCTATATTGAACTACATTATTGATTTTTTTTCTTTAGAAAGTTGTTTTTTTACTAACGAATACGCTTAAATAAATGAAGGGAACGTCGATAAATTCAATTCGATAAAATATACTTATGGCGTTTGTTCGATTAATATTGAAATGAAAATAATTTTATTTTACTAAAAAAGAAAATTATCGTAGCTAAACAAGATGAGTTAATGCTAAAATAGCTGCAAAAATGGATCCACTTGCAATTCCAAAATATAAAGCTGCCGTCATTAAATAAGCAGCTCTTTCACAATTATTAACACCAACAATTGTTTGAGGACGAACCATAAAAGTAACTGTTGCAAGAAGACCATTTGTCATTCCCATTAATGTTATTATACAAAGAAGAAATATATTATCTATATGATGCCGATAAAATATAATTAGAATAAAAAATGTTCTTAAAACTGCAGAAAATAAACAAGTTTTTGAAGAAAAATATTGATGAGCTCTGACAGCAAGAGTACGACCAATAAGATCTCCAAGATTAAATGTTCCAATAATAAAAGGTGAACACCACCAATGATTACCACCATACTGAAACCAACCATTATTTGATGCACCACATGGAATACCTGGCCATAATAATAAACTTATAAATAACACGTAAAATTGAACAAATAAATGAGTTTTCAAAATTTTTGTTAATGTCCAAAATGAAAGTTCATTTTCGACAAGATGTAATTCAACAGTCTCACCCGATATTTCTCGTTGGAATGAAGCCATTTGTTGACTTATTCTCATATTAACTGGTGGAATTTTTATTAAACTATAGTAAACATAAATAGCTATAAAACATAATACTATTAATACACTCATAAATATATAAAATGATAATTGATCTTGATCGATTTTACTATGAACTAATAGAACAATTAATCGAATTATTGTATTTGCAGTAACATTTAAAAATCCAGCCATACCATTACCAACTTGAACAGCTTGAGTAAATGAACCTGTTGTAAATAATCCAGCGATACCATAAATAGGAGATTCAGTAATTGTATTAATTCCACCAACACTTGCAAAAGCAATAATTAAAATAATTTTATTTTTAAAAGCCATAACAAGAATTGCTATAATAATATAAGCTATAAAGCCAGGTATAACACGTTTTGTAAATCCATATTTATAAACACCAAAATATAATTGAATTATATGAAGAAAAAACATTGATGAACCAGCTGATACAGTTCCCCAAAAATCTAAATGATCATTAGGAAAAAAATTACTATAATAATTTTGTGCCGATATTAATGATTGATATGCCCATAATACGACTAAATTAAGAAATAGAAGTCGCCAATATATTCCTTTGTGATGTTGTGATGTATCATCATTTGTATCTTCGACAATAGGAACAACGTCAATAGCATTTATTTGTACATTGTCTTTTTCTTTTCTATTTAAACAATCCATTTTCATCTATATAATGAACAAACTTATTGATTTCATAGAATAATTAAACTAAAATAAAATAGAAAATTTCAAACCTTTATTTTCAATTCTGAAATTAGATAGATGATCTTCTTCATGTAGCTATTAGAATATCATTGCAAAGTGTTACAAGATAAAACAAAAATGAATCAATTACTCTTATCTTTTAAAGTCTATTCTTACTTTATGTAAAAGAATTATGAAAATCTATTTCATCATCGATTATAACATCATCGTTTCCAGTTCTTACTTTTATAGAAGGAGTTCAAACATAAGATTTTCATTCTTTCGCTTGGGTGTGTTTTTCGATTTCTAAATACATTTAACACATTTTATATGAATTAAATAAAGATAAACTGATGACACAACATGCTTTGTTCGGTCCAATCAAAGTCCTTGATTTGATAAGAGATGAAAATTTGAAAACAAAAATCTGCTAAAATCTTTGTATCATTATCAAACAATAACATTGCATATTTTCGAGAAACTACATCGCCATTAAGTCTTCATATTTTAATGTAATAAAAGATGATGTGTTTCATTTTTCAACAGATAAATAAAATAAAATAATCGAAAAATTAAAAGACTTTTTATTTATTACTAGATTTATAGAAACAATGAGAATTTTTTTTTTAATAATTTTAACTTGTTTCCATAACGGAAAATGAACTCTTTTTTTATGAAAATTTACTTTTATGTTTAACGAAACATTTTCCTCTTCACTATAGATATTTGTGGTTCTTTAGGTCTTCTTGTTTAATCGATATTTAATCATCTAATGAAAGAGCACTAAAAAAACACTTATTGAAAATAAATTAAATTTTTATTTATTGTTATATGATTAATAATGAAAAAAAGAAAATTTTCTATAAAATAAAAATACTTCAATTTATAAATTATTACAAAATATCATCGATAGATGTTTAACAATGGAAAAGTATCAAAAACCTAACTAAATCAATATAATAATTAAAGAAGTAAATAAAATTGAAGATTCAATTGAAAAAATCTTAATTTCATTTAGATTAAATAAGAATAGAAAAAAATATATTTATTTTCTTTATTTTTTTAGAACATTTCTTTTTTTAAATGGTTTTTAGAATAATATTTCGTGTGAGCATAGGATTTAAAAGATTAAATTCATTGCAACAAGAATTACATTCATTCATTAAATGTTATTTGGAAAATGTATATTTCTAACATATATTTTATTTCTCATAGAATTCATACTTATTGATCTGATCACCCAAAAAACAACTGACGTACATGTCGAATATGAACTTTGATCGAATCTATTCGATAGTGACAGTTTATTACCATATAATTAGACCGTAAAATAACTCGACTGTAAAAAGGATTTTATGTATTATTCAAACGTTTCAATACAAATAAAATGAATTTAAAGCTTGTTTTGTTTTAATCAAGATTATAGGTGAAAACATTCTATTTAAATGAAAAGATAAAAGAATAAATGAGCAATAAAAAAGCAATTTTAATTAGTAAATTCCATAAATTTTTAATCAAATCACAATTTTATCAATACAGAATGAAACTAGATGGTATTCGAGTTTCACTCGATTACGAAATGCGGTGCGAAGCACACGAGCTGAATTTTCGAAAGTAGCGAGAATAAGATTTAAAAAATAAATGATTCACTTTAAGATTCATTAGAATCGTTTTTTTTTAATTTCCCTATACGAATTTTGAATAAAAATTTCGCATTCACTATTCTTAAATCGACCATTTTGAAATTCATCACTAGGAGATCTTTCTGAAAATGTAACAACCAGTTTTCTAACGATTTTTTTCATTGAACGATTAATTATTTTCATGAATCATTATCTTGAATCAGATGTAAACCAATAGATAGACTATTGGTTAACANGCCTGAAACAAAACTTGTTACAATAATGCATAGTAATAATGAAATTGGTTTGTTGTGATATTTTTATCGTTATGAAAAATTTATTTAAATTATCTATTTTTCATAGGTTCAATTCAACCGATCGAAGAAATAGTTCGTTTATGTCGTCAATATGGCTCATCTGATCTTGTTATTCACAGTGATGGATCACAATCAATTGGAAAAATTGCAGTGGATGTATCAAATCTTGATATTGATTTATTAACCATATGTTCACATAAATTTCATGGACCAAAAGGTATTGGTGCTCTTTATGTTCGTCAAGGAATTAAATTAGAAACAATTCTTTATGGTGCACAACATGAACAAGGTCTCCGACCAGGTACTGAAAATGTTTTAGCTATTATTGGTTTAGGTACAGCTTGCCAATTAATATCAAATAAATATTTATTAAATAAAAGAATTGAACAAATGAAACGAACACGTGATAGACTTTATCAAGGATTAATTAATCAATTTAATCAGTATGATGCAAATGTTATTATTCGTAATGGAAATGAAAAATGTCTATCAAATACATTAAGTTTAACTTTTCGCGGAATAAATGCTAAACAATTAGTTAATAAATTAAATGATCGATTAGCATTTTCAACAGGTAGCGCATGTCATGAAGATACACAACATCATTCAATATCAACAACACTCCAAGCGATTGGTAATTACTGTTTTTGTTTTCTTTCATCGAAGAAGATGAATTTCGATATTGAATATTTAATAGAATTATTGATAATTTTCGAAGTAAAATCCATAGAATAATTTTAAAAAAGCATTTCCTTTAATTTTCATCGACTGATATTTTTCTTTTTACTATTTAAAGGTCTTCCTTATAAATTAGCACGAAGTACAATTCGATTAAGTACAAGTTATATGACAACGGATGATGAAATTGATCAAGCTATTATTCTTATTACAAATGCTGTCAAAGAACAACTTTCTTCTTTAATTGATGAATATTAATCTCATTGATATTTCTTATCTGTTTATTTGAATAAAATTGGTTAGATTCAATCTCTATTTTTGTTTTTCGAATTATTATATTTTTTGAACATATTATCATGATGATTGATAACAAATTCAAGAGACATACTTCTTATTATCATCAAGGTAATTATGATTAGTGTCATATAGTATTTTCAAAATATATAACACATACTTTATAAACATGTTAGTCTTTGTGCTTGTCCGATCTCGTGACATTTTTCTTCGAAATTTTTCACATGTTCTCCCTAGCTTTCCGATGTGATTCGTGTATAAAATATGTTTTATTTATTGATAAATTTATACGTTCATTTCAAATAGTACAATGAATCTTTAGAAGGATTATTTGAATTGTCCAAATCATACTTTTCAATAGAAGAAAATACAACATTTTCTTGATATTCTTTTCTACTGTTTTTAGTTAAAAATAAAAGTCGATTAGGAAGTTAATGTTAATATATGATATTAAAATTCAATTTAACATTTTAAAATGACACTCATAAATTGCCCTGAATAGATTTAGTTTATGTTGATGATTTTAAATACAATTAATTAGTATTTTTCAGCAAAACTTGCTCGTCATCAAGTTAAAGCAATGACAAATAATATGAAGAAAACTTTTATTTAGTATATATATTTTAAAATCTTTATTTTTATTTCATCTTTCGTTCTCTGTTTACACTCGTTTAAATGTTTGTAATTGTGAATATTCTTATTGATGTTTGCTGATTTTGAATAAAATGTTTTAAATGAGTAAACGACCACGAAATCCATAAATATATGTATAATGGAATATGAACAAGAATAATTAATATAGATGAATAAACATAAAATGTTTTTTCACATATTTTATACGGATATGTTTCAGATATTAGAATAATATTTCGAATATTAAATATAAAAATATAACCTGGAATAATTAATAATAAAAGTATTAACCAAATTATTGTTGATATAAAATCAATAGATCGATGAAATAAATAACAACGAATTATATTTAAGAAAAAAAGAAATAACCAAATCGAACCAAATGTAATATGATAAATTGATAATTGAGGTTGACCTGGACATTCGTTTCGATATCGAATACCTATGATAATCATTGATAGTGGCCATAGTAAAATACATGATATAGTACATAGAAGCATTTTTCTTGTTTTTTCTTCTGTTATCGACATTTAAGATTGATTCTCTTACCGATTAAATCCATTTTTTTGTTCTTTCTATCTAATTCAAGATGTTTTTATCACAACTTAACAACTAGCACGATTCAATTAAGTGTAAGTTATATGAGAGGAAAGAATATATTTAATTAAGTTTTGACTCTTGATTACAATTCTATTAAAGAAAAATTTTCTTCTCAAATTCATAGACAATATTAAGAAAATAATCCGATGTTTTAATGTTTATTTCTATTAGTTTATTGATCAATGTTAATTGTCTATAGAATTTTTAGGACAAACGTTGCAGATTTGTTCTCACTTTCTTTAATTAGATAAGAAAAAAAAGCATCTTATTTTTATAGATAATGATCAATATTTATTCAAGATAATATGGAAAAATTGATTATTAATTAAACTAATTTCAAATGAGATTATCGTTCAAAGATACTCATCAAATTTGTAATTTCAAGAGAATTACTGATGATCTTTGTGTAGAGAAAAATAAAATGAGTTCTTATTTAAATGTAAAGTCTGCTATTTATAGTTTAATCATACTCAATATTGGCAAAATTAGTCAAGAAAGTTTTTTAAACTTCCAATTAAAATGATATGATAAAATAGAAAAACATCATAGGTTCACTTTACAGATAATCTCAATTATTGATAAAATGAAATTAATTAAAAATCTTATTCGTAAGTTTCACAATACTAGCCGTATATCCAAGGCGGAGAAGCGGACCCCCAAGATCCCCAATCCTAAGAAATCCCATGGGAATCCCAAATAGGACAGCTATTTCAGAAGTGCGTTATGTGCTTTTATGAAGCACAATGAAATTAAGAATCGTTCTCATGCATAGAAAATGTTATTTAATGTGTTCGAAGCTTTGAAAACATTTTATTATGAATAGGGTATCAATATGTACAAAATGAGTTTTATTCTTGAAAATCTAACACAGAGGCAGTGTCACTAAATGTATTGCGGAGGTGAAAACAAAGAGCAACTTTTTTTATAAGCTTTATAAATTACTCAGATTTTCGATTCTATCAGCAATGATAAAGATTTCAAATCGCAAACAAAATGATAAGACAGTTAAATGGGTAGTATATGTATGTCCAACGAATGTAAAACGGGCAGGATTCATATGTTTTCCTTCATTATATGAAGTACGTAAAACCAAAACAGTCAGGTTTATCCTCTATATTCATCGCTTTGTGTCAGTTCAACGGTGAATCAATTATAATACTAAAGAAATATTTCTAATTCGGGTAAAAATGANTCAGATACTGCGAGATAAAATAAATAATAAGACTCTATTGCTAATCCATTTTAATAAAAGATAGCCGAAAAAAATCAGTCTCATCGATCATTAACCCTTAAAAGCCGAATGTCCCTTCCAAGGGACATTTTGAAAACTTGATTAAAACACATAATGTTAGTGCATGCACAATATTTTTTATTTTCCTCTACTCAAATGATCTGATAAATCAGAAAAAAAGAGTAAAGACAAATCTGAGTAATTGTTGGAGAAAACAATGCGCTTTTTAAGGCTGATAACTTTTTAAATATCAATTTTTTTATTTTGAAACGTTTTTCACTGATGAATACTGGAAGAAAATCTATTTTTTCAAGCGGTATCTTTGCAACATATCGTTACTCTATCATATAAAACTATCCAACGATGTTTTGATTGTTCTGTTGATGAACTGCGATGTCATAAAGACCAAGTCCCTTAGAAGGGACATTCGGTCATAACGGTCCAAATTTTTCCTCCACTCTATAAAAGCGATATAAGGGGACAACAGCTCCCACATCTTTTCGACAATACATGCCAAAGAAACCTACAAAAAGAGGTTTCAAAGTTTGGACATGGTGTGGGGTTTCAGCTTTTGTTTACGAAATGATACTGCATCATGGTTCACCGAAAAGTATATCTAATGAATTAGCTTTACCTGATCGATCATTAAAACGTATTTCATCTCGATCAACAACAGCAAAAGCCTTGAATACTAACTATTAACTCAATTGATACACAACGTGCAAATTTGCTTAAAGAGTTTGGCTCTTCAGGATTAGTTGTATTAGATTTAGTCAAAGATGTTCCTGTTGTATTTGCCATATTTATCGATAACTATTTTGCATCAACTAAATTAATAAAAAAATTAACTCAACTTGGTTACAGAATCACCTGCACGTTACGATCGAATCGAACAGAAAAATGTCTAATATCAACGGAACAAGAATTTTCTAAAAAGCAGAGAGGTTATTACGAATATTTTATATCAAAGGACAAAACATGCATTGTAGTCGGATGGAAAGATTCAAAAAGAGTATTATTAGATTCGAATCATGCAGGTATAGAACCAAAAACAAAATTAAAACGTTGGGATAAAGAGAAAAGGTGTCGAGTTGATATTGTAGCACCTCAAATTATCAATAATTACAACAAATTCATGGGAGGCGTCAACAACATGGACATGCTGATAGCCTTTCACCCTATTCCATTCAAATCTAAACGTTGGTATTCCAGAATTATATGGAGAATTCTAGATGTAATGATTATTAATTCTTGGATTATTAGGAATTCTCGTCTTTGTGGTCACAATAGCTACAGTTCTGCAAGTCATGGAAAATTTAGATTATTTCATTTCAAGTCTGAAATAGCAAAATTTTTATTAACAAAACCAAATCTTCAGATATTTTCAACAACTACTGTTAGTTCATCAATAGATGTTTATCAAAGTGATGAAGAAAATGAACCACCAACAAAAACATTACGTGAAGCCAGGTCCAGTGTAACAGATGTTACACAGTATGATAATTCTAATCATTGGCCTTTATTTATTTCTGCTCCAAATAATACTCGATGTAAAAACGACAACTGTTCTGGAAAAATATATTGGCAATGCTCCAAATGTAATGTGCACTTATGCCTTAATTCAAGTAAAAATTGTTTCAATGAATACCACACTCATAAATAAGTTTCTACTATAGACATACAATTTCACATTAGGACTGCGTATCTTAATTTTTTGTTAAAAAATTATTAAAAAGATTACTTTCTATTAATTTATTATGTTTACAACAAAATAAATAAAGTTATTCACTTGAAACCGCTTTTGATGTATACATTCAGAATAATGATAAATTTGGACCGGTAAAACCGAATGTCCCTTCCAAGGGACATTTTATATCTCCATAAGGAAAAAAAAAGTTTTTTCTTTTGCTATCAAGATTTCTTATTGGGGTACTAGAGTTTCTATTTTAGCGATTATTTTGTTAAATTTGCAACGATAAAGCCTTCGGGCTTTTAAGGGTTAAGATTAATTTCGATTATAATTGATTAAATCTCAATTTTTGTCTATTTTTATTTCTTTAATCAAATTGCTACTGATTTTTATTCTATTTCTTTAAAATAGATGCTGTAAAGAAAAGCTACACACAAGACTAGTTGAGCATTCTTTTCTCTAATGAAGTCTTGAACTGTCAATGTGGGCTCTTCCGTGGAGAATATCCATTACTCCAAAGCTATATACAGATACTTATCAAAATGAAAAGATCGGTTCTGTCTAGTACAATTTTATTTATGCTCGTTTTTTGATAAAAAAAACACTGACTAATAATTTTATTGAATTCAGATCATCGAATGGATATCAGAAACACAAGAGTTTCGCATAAAATAATAAATCATTCAGTAGATGGGAAGATTTGAAAACAAGATGATTGCTTCACACGTTTTGTGCATTCATATAGCCCTCCAAGTTTTTCACAGGAACTGAAAGCCCAGGTGAATCAATCCGATACCGAATCTCATCAGATTCTATAGAATCCTACCATCCGACGAAATCCTGTTGGATTCCTGGTTGAGGAATCAACGTCGGATCCGAATGTCGTATTTCCAATGATATCCGATTTAGCGGCGGCGCCAGGAATTTTGATCTGGGGGGGCTGAGCCCCTCACTTATATTTTCTAGGGGGCTGAAAAAATTTCTGGGGGAGGCTCAGCTGCTTTTTTATCAAAATTCTGAAAAATTCTGAGGGGGCTCAAACAGAATCTGAGGGGGCTCAGCCCACCCTAGCCCCCCCGTGGCGCCGCCACTAATCCGATTGTCGGAACCAATGAAATCCGAAGCATTCCGGTTTCGATTGACGGTTGATGTCGGCTTTTATAAGTTTCCGATACTCGGATCCGACATCGGATTCCGGAACCAGGAATCCGACAGTTTCTTTGCGCCTTCCGAAGAGCTTCTGTCGGACTCCGATGGGAACCGATCGGAGCTCCTCGGATCCTATACTGGGATTGATTCTCCTGGAAACTCACAGTTAGATGGAATTGCTGATTATCGTATCACTCAGTAACCCAAATGCCGAAACGTTTAACACTGATTGCCGGTGGAAACGCTACTGTTTTCCATGAAAGAAGATGACGGTATCTGTACATCACTATTGATCCATCAGTATTATGAACGATTTCATTAATACTTTTTGTCTATAAGTATTCTCGGTGATTATTATTTAATGATGAGGTTTTGCGATAATGATAACTACTCGTTCCTAGTTACACACTTCACCATTCTCTTCTAAAACGAGGGAAAAGATTTCCATGAAGTATGACTTAAGGTATAATTATGAATAGAACTCAGGATTATTCATATGATGGCAAAGAACACTACAACATTAAATTCAATATGAATTATGTTGACATAGGCAAAACAAAGTACTTCATCTACATATGAAAGTGTGGAGGTGTCGTCTTTCTCAAGAGTTTGAGAAATCAATTTCATGTGCAACTGTATTGTCTTGCTATTTATCAACAATTTACTTCAAACTTTAATAGATCTAAAGAGATAATATGTGAATAATTAGTTTGCTGGCACTAGGCACATGAAATAGTTTACTCATAATCTGATTAACTGAGACAAGTTCACCAAGCAGTTTGTTTAATAAAATGAATATTATCGCTGAGGCGATGCTACAGATTATGCCAATTGATATCAGCCCATGTCGTCTCTTTTTTATCAACTGTGCCGCAGTTACGCGCAGAGCCAATTTTGCGTCGCAGTTACGCGTAACTATGGCGCATTGATCGTAGTGGAGATTCTATAAGAAACTACGCGTA